GTCTCGTCTGAGCTGTTCCCGATTATCACGGTTCGGATCCTCCTTTCTCAGGTGATGGCGGAAAAGGCAATCACGTCACGAATGCGGCTGCCACGGTCTAGAATGCCATGAACTTTTCGGGAAAACTTATTGTATAACATTTTTGCAACCCCCCCCTAAGAGTTTCATTCGGGAGAAGCGTTGATGCACCCGATAAACGCAAGAGTCGCAGTAGGGGAAGGTACAGAAGTTGTAGAAAGCATTTGTCTTGATGCAAGGTCGTTTGCAGATTTCGTTCTATGCCAATTATTACGTTTTGTCCCGATGTAAACAGCGATGTTCGGCTTCATGCTTTCTCATGCTGCGCAACGCGGTATGCCCTGCCCACCCAGCAGAGAGTCTCGCGCCTTGGGCTGCATGAGTGTTCAAGAGATCTCTCGAGCACTGACTTGATTCGGTGTGTATAACCTTTGGCATAGGGTTATTCTGTACATGATATCAGGTGACAAGAACGACTGTAATTACCCTAACAGAAAACCAAACTGGCTCACCACGCAGCAACGCTGGCGGATGGCGATCCCTCACTCATCCTACCGAAGCTAAGATAGGAAGTGTTCTGTCCGCTAATGCTTGAACTGAGTATGATAAGATTGCCCCACTAAAGCTGTCACTAGGCTCAGTTCCAGGGAGCAAACCAAGTCAGTGGTGCGCCAGCAGCGCCGTCCAGACAACGCCACCACTTCACTTAGAAGTTAGCTACTGCTTCTTTGTTAATACCGCACGATACAGCTTCTTCGTTTGCTAGCATGTAAATAGCTTGTGCAGACTGAGCTCGTAGGCACCACCCGACGCAATTTTTAGTGGCCGGAGTCCAAAAACCCAAGTGCAGGACAGGGAAAAACGTGAATTTTCCGCCGACAAGTTTAGGCAAGCGCCGAGAGAGGATCCGGGACGGCGGCTGAGAAGGCCCTATAAAGCAAGAGATAACAGACAGCTGAGGGGTTGAAGAGAGGAGTGTGCAGTCAGAGTGTAAGGTTTTCCAAGAGAAGAACAAAAGCACCGAAGTGCTGAGAAGGCTCAACTTAGTCAAGTGTCAAGGCTGCTTGAAGAGTCTTCAAATATCCTAGCCAATAAAGTGCTCTTACTGCCTCAAGATGCTTAGCAGGCGAAACTTTCTCCACAGCATCAACACGCCTAGATGCCACAAGAAACGCTTGCTACCCAGTGAGCTACTTTTATACTACAATGGCCATGTAGCCACTACGAGCACCTGAATGATCACAGAGAACCATGTAAACAGTACATAATGGTCCGAAGTGGAGAGGCCTTAAAGATTCAGATAACGTTGGATGAGAGTAGTCTCGTCGTCTAAAGGGCCTCTGGCACTGCAGTTTGCCTCCGCTCGTTTGGTTGAAGAATTCAACACGCATTTCGCATTTTAAAATATGCGCAACTGACGTCCGGTGTGTTCAACCGCATATATAGCGGGCATTAGAATATAGGTCGAGCTGGCTTCCAACCCAGCTGCTGTACCCAATAGCAAGAAGACAGCTTGCTTGGAATCGATGCGAGTTTGTTTCCTAGTGTATGCGCCTTGCGTTACTTTCCCCAAGGCTACTAAGGCTCCAGATTGTGCGCACTTCATGTATCATTGTTTGAAGTGAGTCTATTCAAAGCTTTTAGTTGCAAGCGAATGGAGGGCACGTAGTGTCATGAAAAGACAAATTTGTTGGCACCTGACAACACCTGAAAAACGTAAAAAACTGACACAAAGCACTGAGTCTGTCTAATTCGATGGCCTTGCTGGCAAACTCAACCACACATTGTGACAACTGTAGCTCATTAAGCTGGAACCAACACTTTCGAAGGATGTAACGTACTCGTTCATAACGAAGGTAAGCGGTGCTTCAGTGCAGGTTAAGCAACGTCGTCATCCTTGGACCATTGAAAACGGAGGCTTTCAATGATCTTTTCCTTGTGAATAAGCAGGCACGTTGCAGCGAATAGTCCTGAAGTTTTGAATTTTGGAGGCTTTCCTAAGTTTCCTTAGAAAAGTCTGCTGTGGGTGCAAGTAAGCTAACCCGCTGCAGCACGTTGGTCTGAAGTGCCTGCAAAAGTCCGTGGTTGCCCAGCGTGCTTATTTCGGCTTCTTAATGTGGCGAAAAGAATCATTATGACACGTTAGAAAGAGTGGCAGCAGCTCCAGCCGAGTGGCTAGTCACGCGCTTCACCTTCCCAAACATTTCCAGCGTAGAATTTACAGAGGCAGTATGCTCTACACCCGGAGTGCTTGGGGACGTTGTCTTCTCAAGGGGAAGAATATCGTTTTTGGCTAAGCTGTTGCGCACTTGAAAGAGTCATCAGGTAGAAGCGGCACGTGACTGGCCTTTGGCCGCGTAGACAGCCTCTTGGTCGTTTAGGTATTCATCAGCATGTCAGGGACAACGAAAGTCCGAAAGGTTCTTTACCCAAGCAGTTCTGCTACTGTGAGTGTGGCGCCGTAACACAGGTATAGCGCAGGCTTCATGCAAGCCGCCGACACGAGCAGCAACTACCGAAGTAAGCGAGCATCATGGAAAAGTCTTAGGAGAACGCATGGATTTTCCGGGGATTTATTTGCCGCCGCGGCATTGCTATTCGATGAACCACAGGGTTTTCGAGTCTGGCAGCTCTAGGAAGCTTTGGGATTCCAAACGCTTAAGGGCATCACTGCCATCCACGAAGAGGCTTCGGTGTGGCGTCAAGCTGGTATCTGAGTCAAAAGCCCAAGACCAGTCTTACGGAGAGGAAGTCAGATGGACGGGAGCCAATGACACAAGCAGCAGCAAGTCGCGAATAGAGTGGATATGATGGGATAGCGTACGAACTGCGTAGGGGAGACGAGGACACGATAAGCGCGCTGCCACCAGTATAGCAAAGAGAAAGCAAATTCGCGGCCGCGAAAATCAGAGCTGACGCTAATGAGCCGTTGTCCCTGAAATTTACCCGAGGTACAGCGTGCTTGAGCTATCGTACCGGAAAATTTGGAGCGCGAGGTGGGGAACTAGTGAAGACAGAAGACTCATAAAATTGCTGCAAATAGGGATAGGATTAGTATTATACTACACAGAATGGCGATTGGAGTACTTAGCCGTTCCGGCCAGCCAGCCTGAAAATCCCGAATGACTGGGATCTCGCAGAAAGCCCGTATGCTTTTCTACGGTTGTGTGTGCTCTCATGTCTGCTGCTTTTCACATTCGCACGAGTCGCTTTACTGTTGCAACTAGCGAAATGCTATATCGCAGGGAAGTCAAGCAGCAATAGTAGCACCAGCAAAACCGCAGCAACTGCAGGAGTAACGCATATGGTGAGCTGTGGAGCCATCAAAAACGCACCTTCTGTTGGTACATCCCCGTAAAGACAAAGAAAAGTAGGATAAATCCGTGGTGCCGTACGATCGGTTCGGCATTTCCAGAGTGTTTGAGTGGACCTAGATCGTGAATGTGAAAAATAAACTTCCGAGTTTTGGGAAAATACAAAAGCCGCTCAAATCTTGCCCGAAGGCTTCAGCTCCGCCCCCCAAAAGTACACTACAGGGGATTCATACATGGTTGGAAGAATAAGTGAAGCAGAGTTCCACTGAACCTTCAACAATCAGCAGCAAAAGGGGTTGCTCGAATGCCCAATCTATTCAGGGAAGCAAGCAACACTATATAGTTCTCCATGGGTGCGCTACCGTTTCCATCATTCGCGTACCACTCAACAACTACGGCCTTGCTTCTGGCTAGTCCATTTCTATCGAAAAAAACCTCACGACTTTGTTCTTGCCTTCGATTAACGGTGGAAAGTTTACATTCTGCTTATAGGTTCCTCATCTCTTCTCCGCGGTACATTGGTATTCTGGCTCATCTTCGACAGGAACTTGCAGAAATACCCCATAAGAATTTTAAAAGCTCCTCAATTCTCAGCACCCGACTTTCCAGTACATATGACGCAGTAATGGACAGTAGTTTGCACAGGCTTTTCAGAGACTTGTCATCGATTTTCACGCACTCTATCTGCTTATTCCCCTTTGGAAATGCTCTCGTTTGCTGTAAACTTGACTGCCATCTATCTATATTTTTGCTTTGTTCTTTTATGTCCCTTCGATGGCTGCAGCAGCAGCTCCGCATTGCGTAGCCCTACATTTTCGGGTGTATCCACATAGCACCTTCTCTATTCGTGATACAACTCCCCAAATGGCCCCCCAATTCTTGCTTGATAGGTTTCAGGCTAATCCTGTTATGACCTAACTCTGATGAAACGCTTTGCTAGCTTACTATGAAGATCGAGCTGGCCTTCAGGTCAGGCGAGTACCCCCGTACAAAAGTGTTTGAAACTCATATGCGGTGATTAATTGTGGAGCTCCTATGGGAATTACTGCACTCATATTTAGCGGGGAGCCTGGGCCTTTTTTAGGAAGCATTACGTAAAGGGAGAATGATCAGTGTAGTTGCTGGTTACTCCTCCTAAAATCAATGGTATCTAGGAACTTCGCACTGAATGAATATCCAAGTCGAACAGGGAGTTACGGGGCAAAACTACGGAGATAATGAAGTAGCATATAATTCCAAGCATTGGAACGGCTGGAGGATCCTCATCTTCAGCGTGAACATCCCAGGTGCATTGGAGGAACATGTGTGTTTGTCGGCTGCAGCTCCAGCAGACCTTGGGGCCACAATGGGAACCTCCCTAATGAACTTTGGCCCTCCAGAAGAATTTTATGACTGTTAATCAATATAGACAGAGGATAAGCCTGTACAGAAATGCGTGTACGTGGGTATAGTGTTTCAAGCCAAATTGAGGGGGGCCCCCCAGAGTTCTCGCGATATTGTAGTATTGCGGCGGTACTGTACCTATTTCCGCCTCAAATGGAACGGCTACTGCTTTTGTGGACTCAATATTAAGCACAGCAGTATCGTCAAGTGCAGTACATGCTGCAAAAGCAACGCTTGCCGCTGTAGTAACTGCTCCAACTAGGAGCAGTACCGGCAGTGGCAGCTATGATCACTCCAGAATATCTGCATAATGGGAGGTCCTCTACATCTTGGTGGGGAGCTACACAGTGGCTCAGTCCTCCATGTCACACTTATGTATCTCAGAAAGGGAGGACTTCCAAAATTGTCCTTTCAGGGTCAACGGCAAATCCTTTGGAACGCCTGGAGCTCCCGTCTGTGGGCTCCGTGAGGCCAGTATTACTTACACGCGCCGTTTCTGCATCTCCTGGCCTTGCTGGTCTAGGTACACCTGCTGGTCCGGCGGCTGCTGCTCCTCATTCTGTTGCAGCTGCAGCAACAGACCCTACTGACAGCTACTGTGTGGGTCAGTTAGTGACACTCGTCCCTCCGGAGCGTTTAGAGCACCAGTCTGGGTCCTGTAAGGGGTTACAGGTCTTCTGCAGCGGCAGCAGGTGCTGCTACTACTGCGGCTACCCCAGAGAGGGAAGGACAGTTTGTCTGTCGTATCAGGCTTGGTGGCTGGGGAACCCCCAGTTGGAGTGGAGGATTCCATCGGTGGACTTTAGGGCCGCGCATGAGAAACTACCCGTTGCTGAGTCCTGCGTGGCTGAGCGACTCCAACAATACCTTGAGCAAGAACGTGAGGCTGGCTGCTGCTATTGTTGCTTTTGCTGCTGTTGCAGCAGTTCATGCTGCTGCTCCTGCTGATGTTTGTTTTGTTGTCTTATGCGCTGCGGCTGTTCTAGCCTCCATAGTTCGATTGTTGCTGGTCATGCTGCAGCTGCGGCTGCTGCTTCCCTTCTTGTTGCTGTCATCGGAGACGCTTCGTTGGGCATGGGCCTCAATGCCGCACTGCAGTGCATGCTGCCAGGTATACAGCAAACGTTAGGCCGTAACCTGTATGCGTGAACCCTTGAGTTCAAGATTTTACTTGCCTCGCACATCTGGAGGCGGGCTAAGGGACATGCGCATGACTAGAAGCCCCACGCCGTAATCTCCAGGGTATAGGGTTTAAAATTCGCGCCTTTTCTGCTTTAGGCGAAGAAGTGCTGCTCCTGGTGGATGCTAGAACGGTCCCGTCTGATCTGCTTTTGCAAGGAACTTCAGCGAAGAACTCCTGCAAACCAGCAGCAGCGGAACCAGCGGCAGTAAGACTAGCAGAAAAAACAGCAGCAGTAATACCAGCAACAGCAGCACCTGGTACCAGATGGGAAGCAGAAGCAACAGCTTCAGCCATCTCAGCAGCAGCACTACCAGGCACAGCAGATGCAATCCGAGCGTTGGCGACTGCATCAGTGGCCACAGAAGCAGCAGACATGGTACATTTGTTGCTGCGCCTGCGCCTTCACTACCAAACTTCAATGAAGCCGCTCTACGTCCCTCTTCCTCTCTACAGAAGCCTTTACCGCAGGCTACTGTTCCCCCCCGCACCGAAGAGGCAAAGGCGGCCTTCACCAGCAGAAGAAGCAGCTACTGCTGCTTTTGGAACTGCTGCTCCTGGTGGAGGAGAGCCGCGTTGCTGTTGTTGCAGCAGCGAAGAGGCGTTCAGCGGAGCTGACGATCCAGACTCCGATGCATGCAGTACCAGAAACATGAGCAGCAGTTGCACCAGCGAAATCAACAGCAGGAATGCGAGCAGCGACAGAAGACCCAGCATTAGCAACAATACCTGCAGTATTTGCAGGGAACGACAGAGGGCTAGGGCCAATCGAACATCGAAAAACATCATCTCAACCCCCTGCGCCTTCTTCGCGCAACAGACAGGGCTTGGTGGAGGGCCTTCAGGAGGGCCTTCAGGGGGATCCTGGTGTGACCCGGGCAGCGTTAGCTGCGGATCCCTTCCAGAAGACTTATGGGAGGTGACACTTCAGTTTTCTTTGTGTCTACAGGTGTGTTCTGCCTTTCCTACGCCTGATGAGGGTGCTGGATTTTCGGATGCTATAATTACTGCGGCTGCTGCTGTTGGTCCTGCAGCTTTCAGCTGGACACTGAGAAAGAGATGATTCGGTGTCTCTGATACAGATAATGTGCAGGCACCCTAGATGGCCAACATGCTTCGCCTTCTACACTTGTTGCCGCCCAGCTTTCTCTCCGTTTCTGTTTCGCGCAATATGTTTCTGTCTGTCCCTCTTCTGTGTCTCTTGCCTACTTCTCAGTTCTGCTTATGCCTGTCTCTGTGTGTTGCTGTCTGCCTCTCCATGTCTACTAGAACTTAGTTTTGTCCGCTTATGTGTCTACATTTCCCGCCTCCCCTCGCTGTTCATCAGGACGGCACTCCTCTGAGCTTCCCTTCCGCCACTGCAGGACTGCGAGCGTCAAAAAGGAGCCCAATGAGAGAGCCTCTTGCTACTTCAGACAACCATCCTGTCTTTACCTATAAGTATACTCTGGGGGAGGGGAAACCACTCTGCCCTGCAGTCGATGTGTTTGTTAGGAGCCCTCTAGTCCAAGGGCCCCCTGTGGATTTGTGGGTGGGGCCTCTATGGGGTTGTGGCAGCCTGGAGGGAATTTCCCATTTCAGAAGTCCCGTATCTTCTAGCTCCAGAGATAGTGGGGATCATGCTCGGGCCATCTTTTCTGCTCTGGCTTCGCCTTTGCTGCTAGGGAAGCCTCTGTATTTCAAGGGCCTGAGCGTTGTGTCTGCTTCCCCACCACAGACGGGCAGCTGCAGCAGCAGCAGCAGGCTGTTACAAAGCCAAGTGCTGCGAAAGGAAGCAAACGAGAAGCTCGAGAAAGGGCAGACGCATGCGGCTCTCAGACTCTACCAGCGAGTGCGCCAGAGTCCACGGTTGAAAGCGTTCAATGACGGGCTTAGTCTGAGAAGCCTTCTTCTGTGCGTTTGCTGTATACGTGCCATTCAGGCAATCGCAGCTCTGGGGCGTCCTCCGTATGAGGAGCCCACGGAGCTATGGGCTTTTAAAGCACTCACACTGAATAAGACCCTCGCGCTGCTGCGGCTGCGGAGATGGGAAGAAGCCCTTACTTGCTCAGACGAGGCACGCTGATGCCGGTGGTGCCGCCCTTGCTGGTGTTGGCTGGTGCTGCTGCAGCGGTGCTTGGTCGGAGCACAAGCAACAGTATCAGCAGCATACACTGCAACAGCACTCTCACTGCCTCCACGACCACCCCCAGTGAGAGCTGCACCAGCAGCAGCAGCCTTTCCCTGTTTCTTTCTGTGCGGCCTTCAGGTCTTATCTCTGTCTTCTTCCAGTAGCAAAGGTACCTACAGAAAGGCAAAGGCACTAGGCGGCCTTCGCCGCTATGCAGAGGCAGAGGAGCTCTGCTTACAGGCTCACCAACGGCTTACTGCAGGAAAAGCCTCAAAATCCCCCGCGGCCTCCGAGGCAGCAGCATTTAGAAGACTCCATGAGAAGCTTGTGCGTGAAAGAACAATTTGGGAACAGCAACAGGAACAGAAGATCGAACAGCAGCAGCAGCACCAGCACAAGATGCAGCAGTTGCCTCAGCGGGATAAAACCGCGAAAGATATATCCAGAAATTATGCTAAGGAGGAGCAGAAGGACTAAAACTGCTGTTGTGTTCCTGCTGCTGCTGCTGAAGTTGCTACGGTACACTTTGCAGACATTGCTACTAGTTTGCCATGCGGATGGCTTGCTCGTTCATAATGAAAACAAAAGGTGTTTTCCGCACGCAATTTTTCCCTTGTTCGGTGATTCTTATTAGGATGTTCACGGGAACGAACTTCAAAGCAAATGAGCAGACACATAAGCAAAGGACACAAGTACAAGTAACTAATAGGCTTCAAGGCCCGAAAGTATCGGCTGAACCATACTTGCTCATCACGCAAAGACACACAGAGCATTTTGACACCTGGCACGTGGCACAAACAACTGGCACCAGGTGTCCACTCGAAGCCAAAGGCTCACGGAACGGTGCTTGCGCACGGTGTGACGCTAGCTAGTAGCGGTTGCTATAGAGCACAAGCTTAGCAAGCATCAGGTGCTTTTCTTGCATGGGCACTCCTCGGATGATACTGGTATCCGGGTGAGCGTCAGAGTTGGAAGTTCACTGAAAGTGCAGTCCTTGGCACTCTGTGTAGCCCGCTGAATATCGAATTTACGGCAGGAAGTAAGTACCTGCCAATCCGGGCTGTGTACAGCGTTGTTCCACTTTGTCATTTCCTTTATATGTTGCTTCTTGCAGGAGTGCTTAGCTTCACCCTGCGCTTAAACTGTGCCGTGATATCACATCTAGAGTAGGATAAGTAATTACACAAGGAACGGGTCCGGTAGCACCGTTGATGGACAAGCACTCCCCTGTAGTGCCCTGACAAGGGACTGAGCTAGAACGCAGTATCTGAGTGGCTTCTGCGTTTTTCTGTGATCAAGCTTCGTTCTTTTCTGCTCACGGCATAGGCCAGCTCAAGCAGCAGGACAGTACCTCACAAGGTAGCCCTGCTGTAGGGCATTCTGGAGAGGCTTGAAGTGGCCCTGTAATGTTCAATCTTATTGCAGTCCAAATTATACTTGACTTTCAATACATTCACCAGTTGCTTCCGTCATTTTGGGTAGGTGCTTGCATGCGGACGTTGCATTGTGACCTTGGCAGACAAGAAGATTTGTAGAACAAGATAAAAGGGAATCAAGCATTAGACATTTAATAACTGTACCTAATTTTTTGTCATGACACACAAGCGGGACAAGTATATAAGTCTTTCACAACAAAGCGCATGCATGCCTCACGCGGTGCTACCACCACTACTACTCTTAGTCTTATTATTAGGCGACTTAGAATGCTTCATCTTTTTATTACGCGTATTTGTGTCTCTGAAAGGTGGATAGCAGGAAAGAAAGTCAGTGAACGCCGGAACGGGATTAGCAGCAGGCAAAGGCGCGAGCGGCAACAACAGCAAGGGCAGCAGGAGCAACAGCTGCTGCTGGCCTCCCAGGCGAAGACTGCCCGCAAGACGGAATAATTATTCGAAAAGACAAGGAAAAGGCCGCTGTTTTCGTTCGCCCGTGGTTCTGTCTCGTAGCATTCCCCACAGGAGCCGCAGCAGCTGGAGGAGCACCTGCGAGAGCAGGGAAGCTGGCGAAGCAACAGTACCGTCACGTTTCATGTTAAAAGAGGGCTGCGCGCTCACTCTGTGAGCTCAGGTGTACATACACCTCGACTCATGCTATTCACAAGCGCAGCAGCACACGGTGCCATAGCTGAGGTGCATGTGCACCTCAAGAATGCAGCCAGTTAGCAGAGGCAAAAAAGCAGCAGTACTCCGGCCCTAGGAACGACGCCACTGTACTTGCCTGGGGTTCTGTTACTTACTGAGGGGCCCCCTGCATCTCTTAAAAGGGTGGGGGGCCCCTCGTGGCGTCGCAGTGGAGCAGCAGCATAATGCCGGGGGAGCAGTAAACCCAGCGCCAGAAATTATAGCAGCGGCAACTTAAGCATAGCAGCGGCAACTCAAGCTCTTGCAGCAGCGACGGCAGCAGCACCAGCAGCAGCACCAGCAGCAACGCCTCGCCAGTAGCAGCGCCAGCAGCAGCTCCAGCAACGGCTCCAGCAGCACCAAGAGGAGCTGCATCCGCCATGCTTCAGCTGCTGTAGAAGCATCGTCCCTCCTCTTGTAGTGGCAAAAGTAAAAGCAGCAGTTAGCAGCATTGTCACTATCTCCAGCAGCACTGGAGCGAGTCTGCTAATAGCAGAAGATGGCATACGCGCAGACGGCTCATTCCAAGGGCGCAGCCTCAGCTCCTCCCCTTCAGTCCGCCCCACAGCGCCAACTGCGCACTCGGCCGGTCGATGGCTCTAAACCCTTATTCATTGTTAGATCAGCGAAAGACCTTGAAGTGCTTGCTGTAAGGACTCAGGGTTTGAGCTTGGGCTTTCCGAGTTGGATTTCTGCAGTTTTAGGCTTGGATTTACAATTGCACTCGCTCGCCTTCTTGTGTCTTTTGCTTTTATCTGTCTTCCTGTGGCCTAGCCGTCGAGCATCTTGTCAACTTTTGCTCTTGTTAGCGTCTCCCTTGTGCATCCAGTCCACAGTCCACGTTCGTCTGTCTTGTGATTTAATCTATATTTGCCTGCCTGTCATTGCCGCTGTGAGCCATTCTGTCTGCGTTAAATAGTGTATTTAATTGGAGAAGATGTACCTGCCTTTGCCCGTGGCTCTCACATCGACTCATTCCCCCAGTGTGTTTGTGTCTGCGCGTCCGTTTTCTTCTTTCGTCTCCAGCGTCTTCTTTGTTTCCAGCTCTCAGTCAACTAGGTGGTGACACGGATTCGTTCATTTTGTTTGTTTATTGTACAGGAGGAGGAAGGAGTGCGCATTGACCCTGTTTCTCTGGGCTTCATATCTTCCTCTCAGTTTGTGGATGAAGGGTCGCATGCAGCCCCGAAAAAGCAACGAGTGCAATCTATTGCGGTGCCTCCAATACAGAAAGAAAAAAGACAAATACAATTAACTGACTTCGTGCAGCCGGAATATTATATCAGATCAGAGATACACCGAGACGTGTAGGCCAGCTAATATATAATTCAAAGTATAAGACGAATGAGAACTTAACGAAAACTAGTTGATTGAGTGGGAAAGAGCTGATGAGACAGACGGCATTCACATACCGAGAAAGACTCTGTACTGTAGGGACTCGTCTTCCTGCACCTGCTGGTGCTATTGGGATCGATGGTGCTGTTGCTGCTGTGAGTGATTGTGCTGCTTGTATTGCTGTTGCTTTTGTTACGGTTGCTGCTATTTCTACAGGGTGAATGGCTTGCGTCTGTCTGATGGCAGCGTAGTGCACTACGACATGCTTGAGGAGGACGAAGAGTTCATAGACAAATTGAATGCAAAAGTAAATAGAAATAACTTGCTGCTTCCAAAACCCATTTATATGCAAGCAGACCCCGGGGCGGTGCCTCCTAAGCAAGCGGATACATCACCAGCGCAGCCAGCAGCCGCGGGAGCAGCAGCAGCTGCGGGAGGCGGTCCAGACTCGTCAAACCTTGAAAACACGGAGCAGCAGCAGCAGGACTCGCAGCAGCAACAGCCTGGTGGTGCAGCTGCACCCACTTCGGGCCCTTTTCGCCTTGTCTTGGACCCTATTTGTCTGTCCAACCGGTCATTATTTTTGTCGGACTTATCTTTCGTCAAATTAATGGACGCTTTAGAAAAGGAAGCGCATGCACGGGGAGGGAGCGAGTTGTCGGTCACTGCTGATGATGCTGCCAGGATCGCCACACATCAGCTGCAGCTGGGATTGCATGCAGTCATTTCTAGACAAGTGCATGCGGTAAAGCAATTGTACTAACTCTGCTGGGTCGCTGCAGTTGATTGTGGCAGTGGTAATGGTGCTGAGTGAGGTGGTGAGGGTGGTCAGGATGGTTGCAGGTGCTTGTGTTTTTAAGGATGCTGCTGTCTGCCTGTGGTTGTTACTGCTCGTTTTGGTGATGGCCATGCTGCTGGAGCTGTTGCGAGTGCTGCTCGGGCTTCACCACGTGCGTAGTCGCATGCTTCTTCATGCACTGCTACTGTCTTACCTGCTTTTGCTGCTGTTGCTGCGTGCAGCACTGGCAGCGGCGCCGCCAGCGTTTGCAGAAGCCGCTGTTGCGTCACTTGTGGCCTCAGTCGTCACCGGGGGATACTTCACCACTAGCGGTGTTCAGGCCTAGGGTATGCATATGTCGGTTAGCCCTGTTGTGTGTCTCATTGTTTGGCCTTCTGTTTGCTGCACTGCTTTTCATTGCTTGTTTCGGCGGATGCGCTATTGTTTACTTTGTCTCATCAGAATCTTCAGTGTAGCTGCGTAAGGCCAGCCCAACCAGTGGCTGGTTTCTGTATGTGTGGGTTTCCTTTTTACCAGTTCTTTCAGTTCTACCCGTCTGCGTAATATGATTGCCTTAGGTGGGCCGTGAAAAGATGACCTTAAGGAAGCAAAAAAGGGTCGGCAGGGATTCGCTATTGAGGGCCGAGAAGCTCCTCGATGATTGCAGGTAACAGCAGCAGCATAACTAACGTCTTCATCAGGAGCTCCACCGAAAGGAGCAGCAACGGTAGCAGCAACTGCTTTAGTGTGTTGCTGCTTCAGGCTGGTCGAGAAGGTCCTGCGCCGCATGAGGACTCGCGACGAAAAGAAGGAACATCTGTTAGAGGTAAACTTGACGTCCTGAGGCTTACGGCTCACTTTGCGGCCCAGGGTGCATTCGTTTGGCTCTCGAGTTTAAAACATTAGGAACAGGATGCAGTATAGAGGTTTTAAAAGCAAGTGTCGTGTGTTTAGGATCCGTTGCTGTGGCTGAGAGGTATTTTGGTGTCTATGCAGGTCCGAAGTCTGATGTTCGAGCAGCAGCGGTTTGAGTTAACCGACCCTCTTTATTCTCACCCCCTTTGGCCGCAGCTGAGAGATAAAATTAAGGCAGCAGGAGCCCGCAGGGCTGACAAAAGGAACGAGAGAAAGGCTCTATCTCAGGGTATTGCGGCTGCTGCAGCTGCAGCAGCTTGTCCGCCCTCCGCGGTGCACGCTGGGGCTGGTACTGTGGCGGGCGGCCCAACTGCAGCAGCAGCGGCAGC